ATTCTGTTTACACGCATTCTAAACTAAGTAATAATGCATGCGCATTTTTATTGTTACGTAACAGCAAATTATAATATACAATGATGGCACGGTAATAAGGAAATGGAAAGGGAAGACATGAAACTAGGCAGTTTTTATCAGAGATAACAAGAGTTTTAAAATGTTTATTTTTCAAGAAGCGTGAATTTCTGCATCTCAGTGATGTAGATTCGTTGAAATTACTCGCGTAACCTATGCAGCAGCACTCATTTCCAGTAGCACTTTCATGAATCGTATTTCTTTCATCAACAAGTTTCAACTGCAGATTGTAGAAGTTATCAGGAAATGAAAATTACAGCGTTAGAACTGTCGAGTTGACAATTGCAACTAGTAGAGGTAATGAGGAAATGGAAGGCATAAAATGTACAGCAGCAGGTTCTCAATCTTTTGATAACGCGTATCACAACTAAGCAAAAAATGAAAAACTTTAGTACCACCCTTACATTTCACAATTATTATTTTTCAATAGAAATATTTTTAAAAAATATATTTTGCCATTTGCACAACCTATTTGTATTAAATACGCACACATAAAAGATAGATTAAAAATTGATTACCATTTGAATTTACAAAATTTAAGTTATAATACTTTAATTCTAAAATTTAGTGCAAAATTTGATCCTGTTTAAGAGAAAAAATATTGTCTAGTATTATTTCACTTAGTTTTAACTGTAAATAAGGATACACTTTTAATTTTGTGCTGTATTTATTTTATAAATATAACATGGAAGAAAATCCTTGTTTGCACAAATAGGTTGTGAAAAATGGCATTAAAAAATTAATAGCTTTATTTGAAATTCCTTTAAATTCTTTTTTTTTTTTTTTTTTTTTTTTTTGTGTGTGTTCAGCCAAAAGTTACCAAGTGTGTTATTTTTTAAATCCTCAGTTAAGAGTTCAATCACTGGTAATTTCTATCAATAGTTTTTTTTCTTCACGAGATAAAATTTCAGGTACATTTGAACAAAATGGATTTCTAATCCAATTTTCTTCTTCATTACCTTCGGGAAAATACATGTTGATATTATTTGTATCGATGAAAAACAATGATTTTTAATTTCAGATGCCAATTCTTTTATTTCCAAATTATTTTCTAAAAGCGGTGAAAAGCTTAAAATATTATTATCGAATTATTTCATGATTAGCTAGTTTTTTTATCATTGCACTTATTTTATGTCTAATGGTAAACAAATTAATACTTTTTCTTTGTTATCCTAAATTTAATTCATCTAACTTTCCCAAAATATCAGCTATATAGGCTAAATGCCTCAACCATAATTAACTAAATAACATTTTTGAAATCCAAATTTTGAATTTCTGAAAATCTTAAAAAAATCGAAGTTCATAAGATGATTTAAAACTTTGCTTCTGGATAACCACCTTTCTTCAGAATATAACAAAAGTATTTAATATTCACTGCCAATCTCTTGACATAAAATTGTAAATATTCTTGAATTTAAACTTCGGCTTTTAATAAAATTAACAATTTTCACAGCTTGATTCAAAACGATTTTCAAGTTTTCGAGGATTGTTTTGGCTACTGAAGCTTCACGATGAATGAAGCAGTGAGTAAATGTAGTTTCAGGTCCTACTTTTTTTGACAAAAACACCGAGATGTTTTCCTGTTAAAGCTCGAGCTCCATTACTGCACTTATTCCAAGGACAATCATTCTCGAATTACTTTGAAAATGTTATTTGCAGTTGATCTATCATGAAGGGATTCACAAAATAAACACTTCTCGAGATTTCTTCATCTTCTTTGACACGTAGGTAAACTAATAATTGAACAATGTTCGTTATGTCAGTACTTTCATCCAATTGCAGTGTGAAATACTCACTGCGTTTTATTTTTTTTGATTGTCTCTTTTATAAAATTTGCCATTTCATGAATTCATCAATTTACTGTACTTTTCAAAATGGAGTATTATTAAGTTCATTAGCCACTTTTTCTTTGAAAAGTATTAAAATATTTTTAGCTGCTGGTAATGTGCAGTTCCCTCCAATAGTGTGAGCCTGCCCACTAGTGGCAATTCTTAGCCTTACGAGGTAACTAGCTTCCAAAGCATTTTCACCTGAAGTAACAAAACTTTTCATGATTTGTTTACTATTTTTGAACACCGATTAATTTCCTCTTAAAATATTCTTCAGATTTATCCTTTAAATTCACATGTTTAGATGCAAGATGTAATTTAAGAAATTATGGTTCATACTTTGATTGGATAATAGTTCACCGCAAACAACACATTGAGGTTGAGGGTCCATTTCAAGTAAATCCAAATAACTTTCTTTATATTTTCTATATATTTTTTTTCTTTTCTTTTCGATATTCTAAGTGCTAGTAGATTGTCCTGGATCCATCACCTGTTAATCTTCACTTTTCCATTTTGCCAATTCTAGCCATTTTTCCATTTTGAAAATCTATGTTTATTTTATTATTTTTCCCCAAATATTTAAATGTACAATATATCAGGAATTCATCAAAAACAAAAGACAATATTCTCAAATCGCATAGAAAAGTAAGAAATACAAAGCAACAAGACAAAATACCTGTTATTAGAGACAGCAAATCGACGTAAATAAAACATTCTAATTGAAAATAGAGCAATACGAGCCTGGAAATAGGGGCCACATAAAGCGTAGATATGCTAATAAATCGATCAACTATACGAGAATTAACTTTGACCCCACAACATCGGCGGAGTGGTATCGCATCCGATTATCGTGACTGCCATCGTATAGTGTTCAGCGATAAATCCCGCTTCACTCTTAAAGCAGATGACCACTGTGTTTATGTCTGGAGAAGAAGGGGCCAGTGGTCCCAATCAGCCTTTGTTTTACAGCTATAACCACTGGTGTGATGGTGTGGGATGCTATTTCTTATGACAGCAGGTTATCTTTAACAGCTCAAAGATATGTTGATACCATCCTGCGGACAGTTGCATTACCCTTCATGGCATGTCATCCTGGGGCCATTTTCCAACAAGGCAATGCCAAGCCACATACCACTCATATATCTCTTCCTTGGCCAGCAAGGTCACGAGACCTTTCACCAATCGAGCATGTCTGGGGCATGGTGGGTTGCCAGATTCAGGCACCACAAAATACTGCAGATCTGAAGCGACAGACGATGAATACCTGGCAGAATGTGTTGCAGGATGACATAAGGAACCTCTACGACTTGTTGCCTCAACAAATTCAAGCATGCATTGCCACCAGGGGCGGTTCGACCAACTACTAATTTGAACACTCAATGGGTGATTGCGAGCCATGAACAGGTACTATGACAATGATTTTTTAATCATTTTATTACCTGTATATGAGCTATACACATATTTAATTTCATCAACAACAACCACTTCATTCATGGTGCTTCGACTTTTTTGCAAAAGAGTACATTTCCAAGAAAGAAGAAACCAAGACATTTTTCCTACACATTCAGAATGAAAGGGAAAGGGTAAACAAAAATTGAGACAAATTATATTTTGAACCATAAAATCAATATATGGAAAAAAAAATTGCCAACTGCCATGTTATTTAAAAAAAAAGTTCAATTTAGTGACAAAATTTCTAATATTAGAATGCTATATATAAAGCTAATACATTAAAAAATGAAAGTTGAAGTCCTTAAAAGCTGTAGTCCATTAAGCCAGGATAACTGAGGTTTAAATTAGATTATTTTTTGTTAGACTAAGTAGATAATACTTTTGCCAGAAAGTCCCTTTACATGTGCAATTATTTCACTGTAACTTTACTAAGATTTACAGTTATTTGTCCAAAACATCTGTATCTGCACCACCATTATCCCTGCACAGACTGACACAACTGAATGGTCTCCTGCTCAACCACTTTAGCAGCTGTGGCGTTACATGCTGGAAGGCATCAAGCACATTTGCCTGCTGAGCATCACAGTCCACGCACTGCTTCTTTTTTGGCGTATGATTTGATGATCCCTCAAAGGCATTCTCTGGTGCCGTAAGGCTCGGACTCTGAGGAAACCAAGGATAAAGGGCTAGTTCGAATGTAAATAAGACTTTCTGGCCACACTGTACTTGGCTTGTTTCATTGTTGGCACTATCTTGTTAGAAAGTTAGCTAATTCTAGAGGTTGTTCTTTAAATTTAGTTATTTGAATAATAAACAGTTGATGTTTCTGCATGTTTATGGCATCTTGCCACCACGCACATTTATCTTAAATGATGGGAATACTTGACCGATTATTTGCTAATTTTACAACAATAATTATCATCAGCCTAACATGGCAGGAAGTAATTTTAACTTTTAAACTTCTGGAAAGTCTGCTATGTAAAACGTAGAGAACTGGCCCGAGGTTTACCAGCAAGTATGTTACGAGATGTGACAGTACTGTATAACGTAGCACTGTGGCCCCTGAAGAAACTGTGGAGTCACATTTGCTGAATAATTTCCTCTTTTAACTCTTTTTATATATATCAAATTTTTACACTAAATTATAAAAAATAAAAATATTATTAAATTATTAATTATAAAAATTTTTTACACTAGTTTAAAAAAATCAAAATATTTAATATTTTTTTAATTTCTTCATCACAGACTTGTTTACTATGTCTTTTGACAACTTTATCTACTGCAATTCCTATAACCATATTATAAGGAGTTAAAAATATCACATATAATTATTACTGAATCAGATATTTTTTGGGGGGAATAGTTAAATATTGCTGAATTATTGTTATAAACCTTAGTATGGATGGCTTACCGGGATATCCCCTACTTGTATAGCTCATTCTTCCATCTAGAAGCAACATATAAATTTAAAATGAATGCAGTGACACATTTTACCCCAGAGTTCAATAAATAAGAACTAATTTTGAAATCTTCATTTTATTTTTATAATATGCGCAACCTCCAAATTTGCAATTCAATACAACTAAATTAAGAACTTTTATAAAAAGAAAGCTTTCAAATAATGCACAAATATACAAAAAATGACTACAGAAAACAGCTTTTATTTTATTAAGACAGATACACAGCACATACTTATATTTATACTACAGTGCATCAATGTTAGAAATTGATGGAACGCATCGAAACCCCAAAAGGACCCACAGGTCCAAACGGAGAACAGGTTACAGCGAAAGAAGATTTAAAACTAGAACTTTAAGGATAACTTGAATTTAAAAAAAAAAAAAAAACTGAATGATTAAAAATAAATACATTTTTTACAGACTGAAACTATGACCATAAAGCACAGTACAAGAACAAGTTGCAATGATGACAGTGAATTTTAATTTATGATGTTTTTGGCCACAAATATACAGCCTCCATACATTTTAAGAAAAAGAAAAGAAAAATAGTTACAAATTTGATGTGTGGCACATAAACATATCAGCAAACTCTTACAAAAGAAATTTCACAATTAATATTGAGAAATATTTCATCATAAATGTATAACACCATCACTGCATTTTCTTTTACATCCAAACTTACAAAGAATCACTAACAACTCAAAAAAAAAAAAAAAAAAAAAACAGTAGGAAAAATGGAATGCAGCTATTCGCAGAGCAATGACATTTCATACAAATTTATAACTGATTATATTTCCCACATGATATGAGGAAAGATGGGATATTCTTTGGAATGGAGGGAAAATGCCTCAAGCTTATAATATTCGTGCTTGGTCCATCAGCCGCATGAAATAAATGTTTTCAAAACTAAAATTATTAACTTGATGCATGCAGCATTCTACAGTTATTCACACTTTAGGCATATATTTAAATAATCTATTAAAAAAATTAATATCCTAAGGAGATTCATATACAAACTACACTTATTTCAATGCAGAATTGAACTTGCACGACTTCAATTTTTAAAAAAATTACATGTTAGGAGCAATGTACAGAATCCAACAGGCAACTTTTTATGTATTTGGCTTGAGTGATATTTAGACATAAAAAACTGTGACCGTAATAGCTGATAATTCTTTTACATGCTCCAAATTAGAGAGCTATAATAGATTTAAGTTGAAAGGCAATCAAAAAATTGATAACAGCTAGGTTTCTATTAAGGATGCAATAATAAGAAAAATGAAATAGGATATTCACAAGATGAGCAAAGAAAAACTCTACAGGGCAACCAATACAAATACAAACAGTCTTTTTCACATTTTTTTATCGTGAATTATTGGAGACTTTAATAAATCAGTTATTCTTAAGAAACATCTTGATCTTCAACATCTTGAACAGCTTCTTTTTGTTCACCACCTTCGCCTAAAAGCAAAATTTATCATCAATTAAACGAAAATCTAAAATTATTATAAATAAATTTTAATGACAAGTTTTTTAAAGACCAATATTAAAACATCTACATAAAGTAGAAAATTATAATAATATTTTAAAAAAAGCATCCCCAATAAGCATAACAGAAATACAATAATAAAGTATATGACAAATAAAAATGAAGAAAAAAATGCTACTTTTACAAGTCACAACAGTATCAGGGATTCATTTCTTTCAAAATAACAGTAGTTCCAAATAATTGTTGGAAATTTTATAAAATGGCCCTCAATAAAAACTATTGATGAAATGTTCCATGAACCAGGAATTATTATCATTCCCTTAAATCACAAGTAGGGATTTTACTTCTTTCAGTTTCAGGACTGGTGCACTTGTCACAAATGTCTTGGCAAACACTGCCAAAAATCCAATCTCGTCATTTTACTAACAGCACAGAGAAATTCAACAACAAATTCCTCTGTAAAATCTTTATCTGCTGAAATTAATATGTTTTTATTTTATCTCCAATAAATCCAGGTAAAACAACAAAATGGAAACATTAAACAATCTCATGAAATACGAGTTGTGAACTTGAAAGAGATGTTGAGTAAAGTCATATGCTTCGTTACCTGGAAGCAGTTGGGGGAGGGCCCTTTCACCATAACATCAACACTGTATTTCCATTATGATATCATTATTTGGTAAGTATTTCTCTTTTCTCTGCTATTTCATTATCCACATTGCAGTTTTGAGCCTTTAAACTGACTGCTTACGTTTTGAGAGGTTATGTGGATTTCATGTTGGCGGATTTACAGTAATTAGACTGTATTAATTCAAATTTTTATCACACATTAAAAATAAATCTTTAATCAAACTAGTTTATTTAAAATTAGATCACAGTATCACACTGAAATTTCACATTTAGCTAAGTAATGTAAAATTTAGATTATCTCAAGCTGTTAGTTTTACCTATACTTCACATTACAAATTAAACTGGATTGTTCATGGATATTTTAGAAATTTTATTCTAGACATATGTTCAAATCTATTTTCCTTAAAACATTCTCTATAAAAGTATCTTACTTCCTTAGGCTGACAGACCAACATCTTTGTTAAGATTAAGTATTCAAATACAAGCATTTCTCCTAATTTTTCTATTATAGTATAAATAAGCATATCAAATTTTTAAAACTTATAGTTTCAGTTCAGAGTAATTAAATTACCGACAAAAATAATTATCAAAAATTGTATTCAAACACGGAGACCTACAAACTAACCTTACATATTACATTTTGTAAAGCACTGCTCCATTTCGTAACTTATACCATTATGCACTAAAGCCAAATGCAAAAATAAAAATTCATATGTATTTACAAATTATTACACAGGCTGATTAGAAATAGTTATTTTAATTATGTATTATGTATGTTATTTATTATGTAAAAGACTTATCAGCTTTTAAATAAAGATCTATAAGTATTTTGTTCACAAACAAATCACAATATGTAAAGTACATAATATGCATATATATGTAAGAGCATCAATTAACATTCTAAATTTGGTACTCTTCCCCTAAACACATTTGCTCTCCCAAATTTGAGATCTTTCGACATTACATGTTGCTCGAAAAGGGTAACTAAAATTAATAACTAACCAATCATAGCTTAGCTCTAGAATCACACCTACTCTGGTATTAAAACCCCTGGCAGATCTCCTCGCTTTGCTTTCTTGTTTAAAGTGCCTGCGTCTAGATTAATTTAAAGAATTAATGTAAATAGCAGTTTATCATATTTCATTATGATTGAATTATAGAAATGTATTGGATAAACATCTATGGAGATGATTTTATATATGCGAAAATAAAGACTGGAAATTCTTCAAGTTCATTCCAAGTTTATTTGGGGTTCTTAACATATTTTAAAAAGTGTTACAAGAATTTAATTGGTTGTGTCCTTCTAAAGAGACTGTGCATGACAAAATAATATTGTCAATAAATTATACATTTCATTATTTTTATATGTATTTTTCATTATTTTTTCTATTTGTTTTGTCAGGATTGGTTCAGCTGTCTTTTAATGCATGTCTTACAAGACATGGATTAAAAGGTGTCTTTCACTTGCCTTTTCATGCAGGTAAGTAAGTGTCTTTCATACACTTACCTGCATTACTCTTTACATATGTATGCATACACACATATATAGTAAGATACTCTTACTTTTTAAGAAATAAAAATATAGGTGACTATTTGATAAGAGTTTGGTTTTCACTGGAACTCATTTGTTTCTAATTAGAAAGAAGGGTAGACTGCCAAACTGAATACAGCATTTTACTAGTCATACTTGCCAATCTACAACACTCAAAAATAAGAATTTTTGCGATGACAAAAGTACTTTTAAATGATAAAAATATACAGAAAGAACATGTATTTTTTTAATAATGAATTAACTTTAAATAGAAACTAATTAATGTCTGAAAGTTCAGTTACCAATTCTTAAATGCAAATAGTACAAAAATAATTACATGTAAAAACATTTTTATTATTTGTACCTTTTAATAAAAAAATACTTTATATCAGTTTTCATACAAACACTAAAAACAGCAGCAGATTTTGCTTTCATGAAGGGGGGGGGACTTCATAATTTTGTTCACAGCAATTACCATGTACATCTGCTTTCACTAATCAAAGTTTTTGTAATGTGTCATTACTAAGATTTAGTCCTTGTAGTAACAAAACTGAAAATTCTCTCATGCTCTGCATTACTATGGGAAGTGTCAGGATGGCCAACATTATTCTAGACAGTTCAATTTCTTTAAAATTCCATTAGCACCTTTCAGGTTTCCAATTAAATTCCACTGGGTGTCGATCCTTGCTGGTTTTCTACCTTTATACCTTTATTCAAATTTTTCTCATTTTAAACTGCAAAATTGCAAACGGAATTTATTATTTACAACATCATTATCTTTCTCATCTAAATAAAATAAAACTGGAAAGATCAGAAAAATCATGATCTGGATATCAGAAAAAGATGCATTTTCTAGAGGAGAAACATCAAGAACTTTAGCATGTAAAATCGCTTACTCGACTGTACCTTCTAAACATGGAAACAAAACTCATTTTTGTCTATATCTGAAAGTTCATCCACTATTTTGATAGTTGCAACCCTTATTACCAAATCTTAATCTTTCTCCTTGATTTTCTATCTTGCCATAAATCACAATATATATAGAATGAGAAGAGAAAATAAAGGCTGATTCTACAATCTTTGATAAAATGCCTTTTAATACATCAATAATCCCAACACATGAAATAATGGAATTCTGTACTGTAGAGTTGTCTTAAGAATATCGAATGATGGCAGAATGCAATGCATAAAAAAGCAAAAGCTTTTTTCACGAGATAAACTTGAAGTAATCGGAAAAGTTTCCCTTGTCAAGCAATATTTTTTAATTATTATTTTGGGAGAGCTCTGTATCAGCTTTATGCTTATATTTTGTAGTACAGTCAAAAGTCGTTAATCCGGACTCGTCGGGACTTCGGCGATTCCGGATTATCGATTTTCCGGATTATAGATCATCAGTTTAAATCGCATAAGATGGCATGCAGAAATTCTAAAATTAAAAATATGAAACCGTAATTTATGAAATAAAGAACAATTATGATGTAAAGGGTATCAAAATTTACAAAAAAAAGCTTAATATTTATTTGTTTACTTTATTAAACATTTCTTTCAATGTAAGTTGTTTAAGTTGCTTCGTTTTATGTGATAATACTTTCTTTTTAATTCTATAAACAGACATAATTTTTTGTTCACTTACAAAGTTCCGCTGTTCAAGTCCCGTTAATTGCTGTGCCGAGAATACCGACTAACTTGTCAATCGAAATTTTTTCGTTTTCACTAACCTCTCTGTCAAATTCTTCATGTCTTTATCCATTTTTTTGCAGCAATTCAACTTTTTGTTTGATGGACATCGAAACATACTTTCGTTTTGTACGATCCTTTGGGAGCTCCAGAATCAAAAATTCTATTTGACATAATCGAAAGTTCAAGTTTACTTTTATAGTATTGCTCTTACAGTCTGCAAAAAATAATAAGCCGGATCCAATTCGAAAATTAAGGAGCAACGCAATCATCAACATTAAATGAAATAGATAATTAGATAATTTTAGCTTACACCGTCCATTATACATAAAACGCGCACGCGAAAACGTATTCTGCGCTTGCGCACACGCAAATGCGCAGTCGTAAGAGGTCTTATGCGCACGCGTAAACACCTATGCGCATGTGTCAACGCAGCGCATGCGCAGAAAGTTTTTAGCTTTGAGGTCCGGATTATAGATCATTCCGAATTATGGGTGTCCGAATTAACGACTTTTGACTGTATTACAGTACAAAGTCTATAATCTGGACGTCCAATATCCTAAATAATCTATAATCCAGACCTCAAAGCCACAAACCTTTTTTTTGTATGCTATACGCATGCACGTTGGGAGGATGTGTCTCCAGATATGTTAAAAAATGCGTGGCATAATTTATGACCAGCTACCATATTTCATGGTAAGGACAATGAAGATGATAGCAGCGAAATTTTCCAGCTATTGGATTTTGTAAAGAAATCTGGAGAAGCGGTAATAAATGAAGATGATATAACAGAAGTTTTTCATTGCAATGACGATGCCCCAATCATCAATCAATCAACGGATGGCGAAATCTGTAGTATGGTTCTAGATCCAGAAAATACCGCTTCCGACAGTGACAGAGAGGTTATTGAAAACGAAAAAATTTCGATTGACAAGTTAGCCGGTATTCTCGACACAGCAATTACAGGACTTGAACAGTAGAACATCGTAACTGAACAAGAAATTATGTCTGTTTATAGAATTAAAGAGAAAGTATTAGCACAAAAAACGAAGCAACTTAAACAACTTACATTGAAAGAAATCTTTAATAAAGTAAACAAATAAATATTAAGCTTTTTTTTGTAAATTTTGATAC